TTAGCGTGCGCAGCAGAGAAAACCAGGGTGTCCCACCGAGAAAGGAACTCTGGGACAGGAACTCTGGGACAGGAACTCTGGGACAGGAACTCTGGGAAAGGAACTCTGGGACAGCAACTCTGGGAATGGAACTCTGGGACAGGAACTCTGGGACAGGAACTCTGGGAATGGAACTCTGAGAATGGAACTCTGGGAATGGAACTCTGGGAATGGAACTCTGAGAATGGAACTCTGGGAATGGAACTCTGAGAATGGAACTCTGGGACAGGAACTCGGAGAATGGAACTCTGGGACAGGAACTCTGGGACAGGAACTCTGGGACAGGAACTCTGGGACAGGAACTCTGGGGCTGGAACTCTGGGGCGGGAACTCTGAGAATGGAACTCTGGGAATGGAACTCCGTGGAGTCCCCGCAGCAGTGGAAACTGCAGCAGAGGAAACTGCAGGTCTATAGCCAGCAGATCTGTAACCAGGGGCAAAACGAGGAAGTAATTGTTGTGATTCCTCTGGATTCAAAGTTAATTTTAATTTTTACTAAGGGCAACGAAGCCTTGAGATGTCATCTTTGAACCGACCGCCCACAGGTAAATTCAGAGTTACTTTTACTCATGGGGATTCCATCTGGATTCGACCTCAGGTCTGTATTTCAACAATTCGCGGGTTTACCAACTGAGATAGGCCAGTTGGTATATTTCCACCGTCTAGCCGGAAGAAAAGCTGCGTGCGCAGCTCAGATGGCATATTACTCTTTCTTTTTCTTTTTCTTTTTCTTTTTCGTTTCCTTTTTCTTTTTCTTTTTCTTTTTCGTTTCCTTTTTCTTTTTCTTTTTCCTTTTCTATTTCTTCTTAAAAAAAAAAAAAAGGGTGACCTCCTTGAGATAGCATCGTTGAACTGACCGGGGCCCCCAGGTAATTCAGGAAGATTTTATTTCTGGTCATCTGGTAGCATCTGGATTCGAACTCCGGTCTGTATTTCAACAGATCATGGGTGTACCGACTGAGCTAGGCCCATTGGTCGAATCATTCTTTCACCTCAACAAAAAGGAAAAAAGGATAACGATGACACACACTACAATTAGGAGTAGTGATAGGTAGGTAGTGTGAGGTGAAATTGATAGAAAAACATAGCTTAAAAAAAAAAAAAAAAATTTTTTTAAATGTC